TTGCAAATATCAAAAAATTTCTATATGTGACACGGCACCAGAGTTAAGTTAGTGTTTTTCAAAATGCTGACACGCCGAGCTCAAAAGGTTCACCATCACTGTCCTAGCCCAATACAAGTAGCAGTCATCTGCAGATCTCTCTGTAGCTCCTGCCGGGTCACCTGGGCAGTGGCTGACTTTGCACCTCCCAGGAGGACCCAGAGCCAGTGCACCCAGTGGACAGCTTCTCACCATACCAGATCACAACTCTATGCATCCACAAGCGACACAGTTAAGGGGCAGACTCAGGGAGCACGAAAGCCAAACTGAAGCAATTCCTGCTCCATATGGTATCTCCTGCACAGCAGCTCTCCCACTGTAGTTGCAGCTGCTCCTCACAGCTAATTGGCCTCACAGTCAATTCCTCCCAGTTATGCCGACAGCAATCAAGGCTCAACTAACAACAAGACTACGCACACCACACAGGGGTGCACCTAAAGTGTCCGGAGCTCAGGTCACTGGGGAGTCCGTCACTCGGACCTACAGGACACCTACTACATACATAAAAGGCCACTCCACCAACTCCAGGAGACATAGCAGCTCTACCTAATACATAGAAACAAACACAGGGAAGCAGCCAAAATGCGGAGACAAAGAAACATGTCGCAGATGGAAGAACAGAAGAAATCTCCAGAAAAAGACCTAAATGAGACGGAAGCAAGCAAACTACTGGATGTAGACTTCAAAACAATGGTTATAAAGTTGCTCAATAATCTTAATGAGGATGTCAAAGACCTAAAAAAGGGCCAGTGAGAAATACGGATACACTAACTCAGTGGTCGGCAAACTCATTAGTCAACAGAGCCAAATATCAAGAGTACTTCTTCAAAATAGACTCGCCCAGGCTGAAAACCGACTTCTGCGCATGGGCCACAAAGTTTCAATCATACTGTACGTGCATGTCGCACGTGGTATTTTGTGGAAGAGCCACACTCAAGGGGCAAAAGAGCCGCACGTGGCTTGCGAGCTGCAGTTTGCCGACCACTGCACTAACTGAAATGAAGAATATTTAAAGCCAATCAAAAGTAGAGGATACTGAGAATCAAATCAGCGATTTGGAATATGAGGAAGGAAAAAACACCCAATCAGCAGTGCAAAAAGAAAAATGAATCCAAAAATATGAAAATAGTGTAAGGAGCCTCTGGGAACGTCAAGCATACCAACATTCGCATTATGGGGGTGCCAGAAGGACAAGAGAGAGAGAGAAAGATACTGAAAACTTATTTGAAGAAATAATGACAGAAAACTCCCCTACCTGGTGAAAGAAATAGACCTACAAGTCCAGGAAGCACAGTGAGTCCCAAACAAGAGGAACCCAAAGAGGCCCACACCCAGACACATCATAATTAAAATGCCAAGAGCAAAAGACAAAGAGAGAATCTTAAAAGCAGCAAGAGAAAAGTAGTTAGTTACTTGCAAGGGAGCGCCCGTAAGACTGTCAACTGATTTCTCAACAGAAACTTTGCAGGCCAGAAGGGAGTGGCAAGAAATATTCAAAGTGATGAGTAGCTAAGACCTGCAACCAAGAATACTCCACCCAGCAAAGCTCACATTTAGAAATGAAGGTCAGATAAAGAGCTTAATGACAAGAAAAAGCTAAAGGAGTTCATCACCACCAATAAGTATTACAAGAAATGTAGAAGGGTATTCTTTAAGAGGAAGGAGAAGAAAGAAAAAAGATAAAAAATATGAATAAAATGGCAATAAATACATATCTATCAACAAGTGTATCTACAAATCAAAATAAATAAACAAGAAATCTAATTAACAAAATAAAGTGATGAATAAAATAGAACCAGAGTTATGGAAACATGGAACAGACTACAAATCTCAAAGGGAAAGGGGCAGAGGGGAGTGGGAAGCGATTAAAGAAAAAACTTATATATATATATGCATTACCTATGGACACAGACAACAGGGTGGTGAAGGCCTGAGGTGGAGTGGGAACCAGGGGAAGGGGGGCAATGTGGGGATAAAAGGGGTACATCTGAAATACTCTCAACAATAAAGATTTTTTTAAAACCCCCCCACAGTGTGCTGTCATAAAGACAGACATATAGACCAATGGAACAAAACAGAGAGCCCAGAAGTAAACCCTCACATATGTTGTCAAATGATTTTTGACAAGGGTGCCAAGACCATTCAATGAAAAGAGGGTAGTCTTTTCAATAAATAGTATCAAGAAAACTGAGTATCTACAAGCAAAAGAATGAAGTTGGACCCTTACCTAACACCTATGCAAAAATTAACTCAAAATGGATCAGAGACCTGTGTGTAAGAGCTAAAATTATAAAACTCTTAGAAGAAAACATAGGGAAAAAGCTTCACAACACTGGATTTGGAATGATTTCTTGGATATGACACCAAAAGAATAGCAACAAAAATTTTTTTAAAAAATTGAACTTCATGAAAATTTAAAATTTTGTGCATAAACAGACAAGGAATTAATACCCAGAACTTAAAGAGAACTTCTAAAACTTAACAGTAACAAAATCCAAACAATCCAATTTAAAAAAGGGAAAGGACTTGAATAGACATTTCTCAAAGACAGACAAGTGGCCAACAAGCATATAAGAAGATTCTCAACTCACCCATCATTAAGAACATTCAAATCAAAACAGCAATGATATACCACCTTGCCCCAGTTGTTAGGATGGCTACTTATCAGAACGAGAAAATAACAAGTGTTAGCAAGGATGTAGATAAATTGGAACCCTTTACACTTTGGTTGGCGTGTAAAATGGCGTAGCCACCGTGGAAAACAGTTTGGCAATTATCATATGATCCGGTAATTCTAGTCCTGGATATACACCCAAAAGAACTGAAAGTAGGGACTCGAAGAGATGTTTGTACACCCATGTTCATAGCAGTGTTCTTCACAATAGCCGAGGGTGTAAACAACTCAAGTGTGCATCCCCAAGATGTGCAACAAATGGAGTATATTATTCAGCCTTAAGAAGGAAATTCTGACATGTGCTACAACATCGCTAGTCACAAAAAACAAAAAACACAGACACTGCCTGATCCCACCTACATGAGGCACCTGAAGAGCCAGTTCATAGCGACGGAGAGTAGAATAG